GGTGTAACGTCACGGCCCTACTTATTCTGAACCCCTGAAGAGCAGCGACACCAAATAGCGGGGAACGAATTAATAATAAAACAAAGAGGCTTATATTTCGCGGTCGGAACGATGAAAACCAACCTTATGAGCAACGAGATACGATCTTAATTGGTAGTTCTGCGGTGAGTATTTAGTGCGGCGGCTGGATGCGCCCGCGGCAGCTGGCTGCGTCACTGAAGCTCTTTGTTTGAACTGAAGAGCTGACTCTAATAGCTTGCACCGGATCCGCGCTTAAAAATGGACTTTTAAATATTTTATGAAGAAGTCGGGCGGACGGATAAAAGTTTAAAATTTACATATCTAGCATATGCACACGTGTGGGTATCTACTGCATGGTAAGTATAGAAACAACGTCGTGTTTTTGTTTAGACGTCCATGTTGTATCGCGACTTGTGTGGTTGAGAAGGTCGGAAGTGTCCTCAACAGAAAAGGTGTTTTCCTCATAAAAACTCAACCGCCAAGCTTTTGAATTTCATTTGAATTTACGAGAATATCAATGAAATGTACGCAGGTAAACATTCTAGGCGAATAAAAGGGTTTTGTAGCAACACGTTTTACAAATATATGCTTACTGTATGTAAACCAAATGATATAAATGTTTGTGGCGACACACGTCCAATGACAGCTCACGCACTTAGATGAAAACGAATCAACGGATGACGTCACAAGAATCCTAAATTACAGATGCAAAGTTTACATGCCAAATAACACAGATAGAAAATCCCAACGAACAACAGTTGGGCAGAAAGCCCGCCAGACACGAACACCTTTCCTGGTCGGCTCTGTTCCCTGAATGTTTATAATATCCAAACTTAATATATTTTAGTATCTAAGTTCTACCTAAAGATAATAATTACTATGTAAATGTATTAAAGGGAGTGAGTGAAATTAAATTTAATCAAAACGGTTATCGCTTTAAGGTACATTCTAGATCTGTACCTAAGTTAGACTTATTATATTTGACCTTATCTAACTAATTTACTTTCTTGGTAAATATCCTGTTAATGTTTATCTCGGTATTGCGAAAATTATACCTTGTATATTAAATCTAATGATTGTAGATATTGTTTAACTATGTAGTAAGGGAATACGGAGCCGCGGAGGACTTAACAGGTTACCGGGGCTCCGGCTCGAAGGGCAGGAGTAGGAACGGGGTGGTTTTTAGTCAGTAAGAGTCTGACACTCCATCTCACCTCGCCCGGGCGAGAGAAGTCATTGGACGATTTTCTCCCCTCAAAAAAAGAAAAGATATTCAACTTGAAATCAAAATATTTTGTAGCTAAGAAGTGCTAAAGATTGAATATTTATAAAGTCATAGAAAAAAATCCACATTTGTACCGGTGACGTAAAAACTTTACACCGAGTTACTGTTTATGACGAAGTTGAGCCCTGACACCGGCAGTAAGTGGAAAAGTTGTACGGGGCCCTTGTTTATTTCAAATAGTTCTGGGGCCACACTAGGTACATAATTTGTTCAGTAAATTACCACCTCGCCCGTTCTATAAAATATGAGGTGTTCGTACCTTAGTGGAATTTTTAAATTAATTGGACCTGCTTCGTTAGTCTAGAGGCCGAAAATTTAACAGCTTAGCAAGGGGTCTTGATGTCGATTTTTTTATCTGTACATAACATCACGCATTTTTTCAGAAGGAGAAGGAGTTATGCAGTTTTGGTATATAATAAAGGCATACATGCATTAGGCAAATCAGACTTTAAGTGTGGGAGAGCCATGCTTCGGCACGAATTGCCCGGTTCGACCGGAGTGATACCACGACCTCACAGAAAACCGACGTGAAGCAACGCTTGTGTTGTGTTTCGTCGTGTGAGTGAAGTTACCGGAGGCCCAATTACCCTCCCCTTTCCCAATCTCCCCAATTCCTGAATTCCCAACGATCCTCCAACTCCTAATTCCCAAAAGGTCGGTAACGCACTTGTAACGCCTCTGATGTTCCAGGTGTCTATGGGCGACGCCGATTGCTTACCACCAGGAGATTCGTCTGCTCGTTTACCGGCTTATGCAATAAAAAAAAAGATTCCGTGTTATACAAAGTTTCAGAAGCGACAACATTTTACCTGATCGATCGAATTGAATCTTTACCTTAGTAACAACAAAGTGCAAGGTTGTTTTTGGAATAAGCCGGTAAACGAGCAGACGGATCACTTGATGGTAAGCAATCGGCGCCCATGGACGCCCAGAACACCAGAGGTGTTACAGGTGCGTTACCGGCCTTTTAGGGATTAGGAGTTTGAGGATTGTTGGGGTTTCAGAGATTGGGGAGATTGGGGAGAAGGGTGGGAGGTAATTGGGCACCTCACTCACACGATAAAACACGACGCAAGCGTTGCTTTACGTTGGTTTTCTGTGAGGCCCTTGTATCACTCCGGTCGACCCGACCCATTCTATAGTCAGTTTTTTCGAAATTCTCAATCATAACTGAGCGTGAAAACCATGCTTGGTAAAATTTAATATTCTCTTGTTACATGTAATCTAACAATATCATAACTAGAGAAAAATAAGTGTCAAAAGTCAAAACATCTACACTCTCAACTCCTTAGAGGAATAAGAAGTAGAATTACGTTCTAGTATAAAGCGAGAAATATCAAGCCAATTTATTATGTAATAACCTAAAAATACAGAGCTTTCCTTATTCTAAATTTATTTGTGTTGCCCGTGGTTTGCTGTGTAAATCTGGGATGAAGTAATTTACTTAGCTACAATCATATTTCAAATGTATAAACTGAGTCGAGGTGTTCGAAGTTTTCTTGGAAATATTTTCGTTTTTGTAAATATATTGCGTTATGTTGTAAGATAAGATTGTTATGTAAGTAAGATTTGCGTGTAATTATTTAACTCGTCGAGTACCGGTTTTATAGACACAATTAAAGAACAATAGGCCGCGGTCACCGGTGACTGCTTGGTGTTTGACAGTTTAAAGGTTGAAAGTTGAAATAGATAATAATAAATTATTTATATCCTGTATAATAAATCCTTACCTTTAATCTGTCAAACACCAAGCGGTCACCGGTGACCGCGACCTATTGTTCTTTAATTGTGTCTATAAAACCGGTACTCGACGAGTTAAACTGTCAAACACCAAGCGGTCACCGGTGACCGCGACCTATTGTTCTTTAATTGTGTCTATAAAACCGGTATTCGACGAGTTAATGCACTATGTCTCAGGTTTAGTCTCTAATGGGGTTAAATTTAATGCTAAAAAGTATTTAATAAGCATTAAAGTTTTTGATTTCGTTTTGTTACTTGTAGTATTTATTTTAGTAGAATTTAATACCAACACTATCTATTGATTTTAGTCGAATTCACTATAACTATGTTATACAATACGGTAGTGAGGAAACTACCATACATTGTTCGTCTGGTAGATTATTTTAAAACATTAGACACGTATTTTTTCTTTTCTCACAAATTTCAATACTTTCGACGATATATCCATTTGAAATATCGTGTGACATCACAGCGTGGTACATTTTACAGCACGTTGTTACGTAACGACCTCCTAAACTTAACACCATGTTATCTAAGTATTGTAGCTTTATATAAGAAAATAAAAAAATATGTATCTAATATTTTTTCATTATCTAACTGACGGACTAATTCGATTTTTAATTTTTTTATCCTGGCTACTACCGAATTGACACATCATAATGACATTGTAAATGCAATCTCCTGTATTTACAATATTTTCTTAAATAAACACCAAAAAGCACAAGTATAATGTCGAAATACTCAAACACCACTCAATTTTATGTCGCGCTTGAGTATAGAACTGTGACTACAAATTCTTGGTAAAATGACAGAGAAGGCACGATATTTAAGTACAATTTAAGTGCTTAAAATTGAGTAGCTTTTCAGTATTCAAGCGTATGTCTAGACCTAAATAGTTACGTACCTCTAGTACCAGTGAAGTTCCAGTCAGTATCATGTGTGTGTGTGCTCCGGGCGTAAGGAGCTCGTCTCGACCGGTTGCCAGGCAACCGCGACCGACTCTCCGCCACTACAAACAAAAATACAAGCCTTATAAGTTAAAATCATAATACGATTCTTAGAAAGAACTATCTTGACCTATAGGTACTGCTTAAAATGTCAACAAACGCAAGCTTTTCAAAGAAGAAACCTCCAGGATTATTAGCAAAATTCACAGACGATTTTGACCTTTAGTGTCTAACAACGATTCACATTAAATTTCGAAATTCCTGTGAAGTTTTTGTCGTGTTGAAAGTTGTAATTTTCCGGAATATATCTTCTTACTTAGTCAAGTCTTTTTACCGTAAGATAACGAGTCAGTTAACTCATTTCCTAATTTCTTCTTTTTTAATCGAGAGCGAAGTATTAACGCCTTTTTAAAACTTTTCCTCAAAAACAATAAAAAAGTTCAAGGTAATGTTCAAAAGAGGAAAGTTATCCAATCAATTTTTTAATTACAACCCTTTAATGGTATAAAAAGTGGGATAAGAAAATGAGCTGCCTATCATTATTAGGGTTATAAGCACTAGTGTAGCCCTGTGGTTTAACTTGTGTTTTTTTAAGGCGGGAAAATCATCGAATGACTGTTCCCGTCAGGGGGGAGGGAGTGTCAGACTCTTACTGACTAAAAACCACCCCGTTCCTTCTCTTGCACGTCGAGCCGGAACCCCGGTAACCCGTTATTAACTTGTGTATAAAGCAATATTTAGGGCATTCATGTTTCATAACGTGTGATCATGTTACTCTTAAAAACAAATGTACCTAATAAGTAAGTATTTAATAAATGTTGCTTTGCTGTTGGTTTAACAGTCGATAGTGTAACTGGATTTGAAGTTTCGGATAATTAAACTTATAATTCTAAATTGACAGTAATTATTACATGTTCTATAGCTGATTGTTCTTCATGTAGGCAACTTATCCTTTAATACAATAGGACTGATGACAGTTATGTTCCATGAAATTCCATTAGACTTACCATCTATTAAGTACTCGGAGACTCCATAAGCCTGATCCTTTGTATTACTAACAAAGCATTGATAAACTCCTTGGTCTTCCTTCTGAGAATTCTTGATATGTAATCTTAGGCCGTCTTCAGACATTTTTATTCTCTCGTTTGGTTTGATAACTTTAGCGTCGTGGACCCAATAGACAAGTTCTATTGGATGCCCGGACACTTTACATTCAAACGTGACGTCAGCATTCGTTTTCGTTCGCACCACTTCGGGTTTTATTCGGACGGAGATGGGTTCTGTGAAAAAGGATGAAATATTAGGGTCTAGTTATGTCCTCGATCTTTTTAGTGAAGGCTGATCTTGTTATTGAGTGATATACTCGTAGATTGTCAAGGTCGTCTTGTGTACCTTCTATACAATTTCTACATGTACTTGACAGGTATTGAAACTTTAAATATAATTTTAGTGATAATTATAGACAAAATTGATATTGATTGTGTTATTAGGATAAAAAAGGCTATTTTTATTTGTCCCAAAATTTTAAACATCATCTATAGTTCTTAATATGGTGTGTAGTGACGTAGTCGTAACTCATAAAATTTTAATCATTGGTCACCAAATCGATGCAAGTGTGACTTCAGAATGGAAATAATGGATTTTATTTATTCTATGAATATGATAGAGTTACTTTTTAATAAGTAGCATATTCTTTTTTCAAAAATACAAAGTTGGTTGTTTATAAAACATAAACTTGGTCAAAAAGTACGCAATGTGCAGTTGGTATCGAGAAACTAAAAGAAAAATATTCGGTTCGTTATTTTGTGAGTAATACAATTTTACGATTAGTCCAATTAGGAAGACTACGGAAGTAATTGAGTAAGGAAAAGGAAACTGTTTACATATATTTAGGGTATGTGTGTGTGTGTGTACGTACGTGTTCCTCACGTATTGTATTTGAAGAGAGCTGAGTCCATACACGGCTGTTTTTGTTACAGATTTTTTCGTACAAAATTTTCAAATTAGGTTCGTATTTTTTTTGTCATTGCTTTGTTGTTTTTTATGCTTTGTATTTTTGTTATTGGAACTTCGTATTGTTTTAGTTTTTGTTTGTATTTATGCAAGTATTTTGTCCAATATAATATGTTTTTTTTTATTTTATACGTTTCATAGTTTTGTGGAATGGCGATAGTTGATAATATTGTATAGATATAAAACTTTACAATATAAAAATTAATTGAATGGTTTTAGCTAAGACTACATCTGAAGCTGCGAAAATGATATTTTCCTGTATAACGGATAGATAATAAAATAAGTTGTTTTGTAGAATATCAGAGTAGATACTAATTATTCTGTAAGCCTAAGTAGTAGTAAAAATCACACTATTTATGTTGCAAATATATTTATTACATATAAGCACGATGGGATTGACATCGTCACATAATGTGTACAAGACACCAGTTAACTGGCGAGTTATTTGACATATTTTTATAACAAAATAACTTCTGCCCGCAACTTCGTACGCGCAATCCCGTATTCTTTCGTTCCCGTAGGATTTTCAAAATTTTTTCTGTCATAAGAACCTTCTCCTGACAATAACAAACACAAAAAAATTAGCCAAATCGGTCTAGCCGTTCTCAAGTTATGGCGTGACAGCGGGAAATGGGTTTAATTTTTATATATATAGAAGTGTGACAGAACTTAACTACAGCAACTTGATTAGATATCGTGGTACTATTTACAGGCCCTTACTTTAATATCTTTACTAGCTAGTTTGAACTTTTACTTTATTATTATTTATTTATCTTTAAATCACACAGGTAAGTATGTTATAATTTAAGACCCACAAAACCGTTGCAATGGTTTGACTGTGGGGTCGAGTACGGAGTAGTAGCACGGAGTCTGAAATTGTGCCCGGTATCTGGTAATAAGCTCACCCCCTATTACATGGGACTCATAATGTACCTCTAAATAAGTGAAAAGTGGGTGTTACAACGTACAGTTGCATTAAGTGCGTAATGTGCACCTCCACCAACCCATATTCGGGATAAAAGGTATGATGTTATGTTACCTCTATGTAAATCATTACATAAATTGCCCATTTTCTTTTAAACCTTAACAACCCTTATTTAAAGAATATTTTTCAGTAAACTTACCTGTGATTATAAGTGTAAAGTGCACGGATTCTCCCCCTACAGTATTGTTGAGCCAGCAGACGAAGCGGCCAGCATCTTCACGCCGCAGCGATTGCAGGCTCAGCAGACCACTACCAAGGAGCCGCGCCCGAGACCATAGAGATGTCTTCTCTATGGGGACCAGCTCTTCGTGGTGCTCGCGAAACCACCTGTGTTAAAAATTAGGGTCAAATAATTTTACATCTTGATAGCTATTAGGCCGACTTAAAAAATGTCGCATGAAGCTGTTGGATGCAGGTCGTTTACAACCAGTCGATGTGGAAGTCATTGATGAGATAGGCCTTGTCTCAGCAGTGGACGTCTTTTGGTTTATGTTATAATGATTGGGATGATTGCCGTTGCCCCGGGTTTTGTCATGTGTCGTGAGTGCGTTTACAAACATACAAGTTTACATACACATTACATCCAGACCCGAAATAACAATTTGTGGATCACACAAAGAGTTGCTCCGTGCGGAAATCGAACCCGCTAGCTACACGTTACGCGGCAGCCGGTTGCCCAGCCACCGCGCCAACGGTGCATTTACAAGTAGGAACGAAACAAGTTGTTTAAATCTGTAATTTATTCGAAAGGTTTTAAAAGGTTTCATTGAATTCCGGTCATAAAAGATTTCCCTTGACTTAAAAAAAGGAAAAAAACCATCTTTAAATACTAACATTGAATTGTAATAATGTCTTCAGAATACAAAAATTTTCTAAAAATCTGATTGGTGAAGTTTTAAAAAGAAATTACGCATCCACTATCCAAGGTCCTGTATAAATGTGTGTTATCGACTCATTTATCGACACCGCCCTAGATTCTTAGTGTACATTCAACAAGCATGGCGTCAATAGTGAACAGATTGTGACAAATGCCACATTGTTATGCCAATCATAATGATGTATCACTTCTCTTTCATAGTTTCACCATAGAAATTGCTTGCGATACTTTGTTTTTTTATTTTCACACATCTTTTGTATGAGTATTTGTATTGTTGACTGCGTGTGTATTCTTTTTTCTACTTAGAAAGTTATTTATCTGAAGTAAATAGTTATGGTAACTAGTATTAGGGTTGTAATTCGCCAAAGGGCTCTCTTTTGTATTATCTTTTTTATTCTTAGAATATTTCTAACGAACTTTGTTTAACTAAATTCGGCTTGTTATGTCGTATCTTGTTGTTCTAGTACCTTTATTTTTATTTATCTTTATAATGACTGTCGTGGAACATACTGAAATAACTAAAAATAACGGTTTACGGTGGGGTAGGCTTCGCTATGTCGCCGCGATCGCGCGAGCTGCTGAGGAAGAGTCCCTCTAAGATTCGAAACTAGTAGAGCTTTTCTCAACCATTATTTTTATTCTATTTACTCTTGGTATATTATTGGTATTATCCAGTTGGTACTTAATAAAGCTTAAACTGTTCCTCATAATTAACAGTATGCTCGCTACCACAAGAGTAAATACGAAATGAGTATTTTAAAAGAAATAAGCAATGTTCACCTATATGTGTTACTTCTTGACACGTTGCTTATGTATATTTATGTAAATAGTGAAAAGTGGGTGTTATATTGTACGGTGGTATTAATTGCCGTAATGTGCCTCTGCCTAACCCTTCAGGGATAAATAGGCGTTATGTTATGTTATGTTATATGATACGTTCATTACCTATGTTATTTCTTCATCATGTACATATGATAAAATCCGTTTAGCTATCTGTAGGCAATTTGTAATTCAAGACACCGGTTTGTTCTGATCAATCTAGAAAATGAACTTGTATCGTATCCCAAATACTTTTACGACAATCGAAACAAGGCAATCAGGTAAAATAAAAACTTATGTTTTGTAAGTAAAACTTGTCAAAGAGAAAATAAGTGATCACATGAATTGGATACACGTCTTTGTAAACTGAGTTAACATTTTGTTTTTGTCCGAACAGTGCATTTTCTATGTAGAATAAAGATATCCTTACTAATATTATAAATCGGAAAATGAGTTTGTTTGTTTGTTCCACTTTCACGCCGTAACTACTAAACCGATTGTTTTGAATTTTTGCAGACGTGGAGTTAGCAGTCTGGATTAAATAATAAGGTTACTTTGTATCCCGGAAAAATTTGATAATCTCGAGGAAAAACGAAATTATTGGTATAGATGGCGCTGTGTGTATTGGTATATGTCACATAGGCTACTTTTTATTCTTTTGTGACGCGAGCGAAGCCGCGGGTAAAAGCTAGTATTCTTATAAAGAAAATATTGCTTATTATAATATCTCACCTATTTATTTCAAAATAATAATCTGATAACAGAAGGCCTAGTACGAATTCGTTTGACGTTTGATTAAATCGAACATTATCACGTTTAGCCTTCTGATTGGTTGGTTTATTGGAGCAGGCCAATCAGAGCGCCGAATCCGAAACGTCTCGTTAAATGCAAATAAACTCGTACTAAGCCCTTAGTTACACAAACGAAGAAGAAATAATAACTTCAAACACATAAGTAGGTATTACATGAAACTACGAAAAGATTGACAGTAAGTATGTGTAAATACCCATTTTGCGTCAGCCATAGACGTATTAGTCCCACGTAATAGAGATCCTCAGAAAAAACATTCAACGTTAATATTATAGAACTGAGAGGTAAAAGAATCCGAGGAACCAATATCAATTTAATACCACGAACCCTTTCTAAGAAGCGAAGACATTTTTGTAGGACCAAGTAATGGGAAATATTCGCTGGACTATTTATTTGAAGTATTTAATAACTCTTCACATACATAGTATATGTAGAGAGTTTGTTTGGGATCGAATTACTCTCTCCAGAAGCTAAACTACACCGACTTATTTCAAGACTGTCCAGGTAATGTCACGCGAAAGAAACCCTTACAAAGTTTCAACTTTCCACTCGTTCCAAACACGACAAGCTTTGTGAATACGGTCTAATATCCTATGCGCAAATTCACGGAAATGAAATGGCTATGTGGCGCGAAATCTTCAATGTTCTCCGAGTTAGGTTCTCTTTTAGAAATAGTTTTGAAAGGAGCTGAAATGCACCGAGACATTTGCATTCTAAAAGGATTCTACGAACTATGGCTGGATATGAAAGTTTATGGCGTATTCAGGAGCACGCCGCGGTGATTCTTTGAAAACATAAAATGTTATCAGTTCACTGAAGAAGTTTCTCAACTTTTATGCACTATAGAACTAGTCGTTACGAAATCACTAGAGATTTTATTTTTATTTAGCTTCGTATTTTGTTGTTCGTCTGTTTTGTTTGTGTAACAGGTATTGCTAAGATGTAGAAAAACGTACATGGTTGAGATCAGTCAACAGTTTTGTATCTAAAAACAATACACTATCAGAGTGTTGATGATAGACGATTTATGGCGTCTTTTTAAAGTTGGCCCTGAGGGAACCTTTTAGCCTGTTATTTACGTAACACAAAACACAGCACAGATAACTGCTATAACCTCACCATTCAAACGCTACGAAATAAATCGAACCAATTGGAAAACTTCAGAAAAATTTATCAAATACTCCCAGTTTTAGGTATTCGGTCTTCGAAACTTATAACAGTATATTATAGAAGCAAACTTATAGTTTATATACCTAGTACCTAGTTGCAACCACGTTTTAAACACAAATACTAAGAGAAGGAAGTTCTGTTCGCCAACCATCGACCCATGAGTTCGGTTTGTGAGGCTATTTGACTAAACATGGCCAAGTTTGCCCGCTCGAACTTGGCAACGTTTTCTAGTTTGTACTTCTAGCCAGTTTTCAGGTACGTAACTAGTGAACCTACCTGTGTAGTTATTAACTCAAATAACATTTGTTATAAATATTCTATAAGAGTAGAATTTCATGCTGATGTTGACTAAGAATTTAGGACTGATATAAGACTCAAGGCATATTGCTTATGGTCCTTAAATGGTCTACATAACAATGCTTCTGCCGAGAACATATTTAGAGAAGGCCGTACAACCATAATTGATTACTAAAATTATACACACTAATGAGTATTTGGTTAATAAATAAAACTGAGGATTAAACCACGAAAGTGTAAAATCTGAATAACAAAAATGCTGCCGAGATAAACTTGTGCAAAAGTTATTTAGAATTTCAAACCAGTTTATGCAGATACGAATACATACATGTTTGTTTCTAAAATCAGGGACTGACCTTTGTGTATCAGACGCTAGCGTCTTACCACACACTAGGGTCAAAACGACATCGTTACAACCATCCAAACAATTACATTATGAAAATCTATTTAAATTACGTGCCATTTTGCCATCCTGAGAGATACTAAGCACAACAGCAAACGTAGCTAGCTATATTTTAAGGGTATAATGCAATTTACCGGGTTTTGCGGGCTAAATTGCTCCTTGGCAGTTAAAACGAATCACGTCGCATGGGGATTATAAAATTGCGGTTAAATCTCGGCGCGAGATCAAAATGCTTTGACGAGGAAATAAAACGGCCAGCCCGGTCGTCACATGTACCGGTTTTAAGGGATTTCTACTGTGAATTTTAACACATTGTTTTCTACCAAAATTGTACAGTACAATGTATTGTAAATTTCCGCTTCATTTTGTTCAGAATAGCGGGATTGTATTAATAGTATTGAAATATTTCGCAATAATAGCACATTATTAACATGGTATCGGTTGTACGTTTGAGAGCTCTCTTTAGCAAGAAATGGCAGAAATATTGGATTTCATTCGAATAAATCCGAGGAGTTTTCCGATGCATTTTACAGACTTCAATACATTCACCAATTTTAAATATAACCATGAATTAGATAGGATGTGTAATTTTCCTGTAACAAAAATCCTTCCACAAACTGATGCCTGAATGGTATATTCAGTATTATATGTATTTGAATATCATTTTCCTGTGAAAAAGAAAAGGGTTAATGATGTGATGGCGTTTGTTTGGGATAATTGTACCGAGTCCAAATCTTATACTATTTTATAAAGCGGAATATTTGTTTTTTGTTTGTTTGTCTGAACGCGCTAATCTCCGTAACTACAAGTCCAATTTGAATAATTCTTTTTATGTTGGATAGCGCATTTATCGAGGATGGCCATAGGCTATAAAACATCACGCTACGACCAATAGGAGCTGAGCAGAGCGTGTGAAACCGCGCGGAAGTAGCTAGTAACTTGATAAAGATATAAATATTCTTTGTTCAATTTAAGCGAGTGAACGTGACAATGCACTGCTAAACTAGGACCTTCTCTATGTACAAAGGGCTTTTTTTTAAGGGGGGAAAATCATCGAATGACTGCTCCCGCCTGGGTGAGGCGGAAGGGAGTGTCAGACTCTTACTGACTAAAAACCACCCCGTTCCTTCTCCTGCACGTCGAGCCGGAGCCCCGGTTACCCGTTAGGTTCTCCGCGACATGTACAAAGGGCTTGGCATAATCTGCATAATCTTACGGATTGGAGACTACAGTATAAATAGTTTAGGTTTATCAAATAGTGCTGCTGGCCGGTGTCAGTTCCTCTGTCAGAACTAATCACATTCGCAGGAATAATAGACAGTGGTGGTAGCAAAGGCCAATTCTGCGTCCCTCCCAGTTTATTTGTCATATAATCTTACTAATATTGTGAAAGCGAAAGTTCCTAAGGTTGTTGGTATGTGTCAAATTCAAAATCATTTATTTCAATTAGACCTAGAAGACACTTTAGAATGTCAACAAAAAAGTTGCTCATTTCAAAGTGTAAATTCCTATGGAGAAGAACAAGCAAGAAATTCCATAGGTTACTCTTTTTCAATCAGGTTCACAATACAATTCTCTAATTACTCAATCAGGTCAAAACGTCTGAAGGGATCGGGATTAAGTTTGGCACGAGGATAGATAATGGTTTGGAATAACACATAGGCTACTTTTTATCATGGGAACCCGGGTGAAGCCGCTGGCTGAAACTAATCATTCAATATTACGATCTCTACTAGAAAAGCTTCATAAAGATCTAATTTACAAAAACCATAGCATTTACAGGCTTCTTACGTAAAACATAAGACCTATATTTAAGTAAAAGCAGTGGCTTTAGCCTCTTTGCGGTTGATACCGTCGCAGTCCGTTGTTTGCTTACTGAAGCGATACCTTTTAGCTAGAGGATACACCGGCAGAAAATGTTGCCCCGTTTTTTGTTTTTCTATGAAGAAAAACTTTATACAGGGTGACTGTGTTGTGTTGTGGTTTGATGTACAAGGTGCTCGATATGGGTTGTTGTTTAACTTATTTTATTTTGATTGCTTTGAAAATTGGGGTTGAAGAAATTTTATTAAAGTTAGCTAAATAGAAAATATCTCGGTGTAATTCTTACCTGTAGCTAGGCACAGGCCATGCATGCGCAGCACATGGTAGTCGGACATCATGCCCGGCTTGTATTCGGCGCGTGCGCGGCTCTATCGCCATCCGCGGCCTCACGCCACCTTTTGGTTCTGTCACTATTACATGACCTGGATAAAAAATAATACTTATTTCAGTATCTTAGCTCAAATTGTCACTATCAAGTGTGAGATACAGTGTGAGTAAAGGAGCATTTATCATTTTCGAATTGGGTAGATGGCGTTGTTGTCAAATAAAGAGTCAGTCAGTGTTGTAATTAAACTGTACTGTGCTTAAGGCTTAAGGGAATATTAATTAGTAATAGAAAGAAATCTATACCTAAGTTCAGTATATCAGCTTATAAGTTTATAAACCATAGATGGCTTAGCTATTATTTCTTAAAGCTTTTGTACACCCTTGCAGGGTGAAAAAAACTTACCAAAATAAGGGCTAGTATACAAGGTCCCGGTGATCCGGTCCCGTACGCGGCACCGGAACGCGTTGTGCCGGTCTCGTGGGCTCACACCACTTATGTACAACGAGCCGTCGTCTAGACGCTGGTACTTAGACCCTGAAGCAAACATTACTGGTTAGGTTATATTATATTTAACATTTGAAGACGAATTTGTTAGTTTTGTACTGTTAGATACCAGACTTATATTTTTTTTCTCGGGTTGTGAATAAAACTTTGTCAAATTAAGGGATGCATGCAGCCCAATTGTAAACAAACATTTGCAAAATCCGGGTATTAGACCAAAGAGTTTGTGTTTGCCAGTTACATTTACGTTATAATAGTTACTAATGTTGTGAACAAAAAGTAACACTATTAAAAAATAACCACTCTGAAATAGGTATTTAAATTCAATTGGGTACGTACTTTTTCACCTAAACATTCACACGACAATAACTTATTCCATACAAAACAATAATGCATCTGTATTCCAATATATTTTAAACATAATACAAATGAATTTCACAACACTAATTGAAACGCAGGTGTGACGGATGCGAAATATTGCACCCACCAATGTCCACATTTATTTAAATGAAATTATTTGCAGCTACATTCAGATTTATTATAGTCATAAATGGTGCTGTTAGTAAGTAGGTAAGTATATTTTGTTTACAGTGCGGTGGAAAATTGACGTGGGATTTTCGTCATACAATAGGGTAATTACAGGATAATGACAGGGTATGAAAATTAAAAATATAATAAGTCCGTAAGTTAGGTAATGTAAAAATATTAGACACGTATTTTTTTATTTTGTCGTATAATAAAACAATACTTAGATAAAACGAATCAAAGTTTAGGAGTGGGGGCCAAAACGTCATTTCTACGTATAAAATACATAGAAGTGACGTCACGCGACATTTCCAATAAATATATACGTATCTAATGATTTAAAATACCAGACGGAAATTAAAATAATAATTAGGCATCTACCATATTGCCAGGGTATGAAAATTAAAAATCAAATCAGTCCGTCAGTTAGACAATGAAAAAGATATTAGACACCTTCCTTTTTTTCTCGTAAAAGTTACAATACTTTGATAAAATGGCGTTAAGTTTAGCAGTGGGAGGTCGGTACGTCGATATTGCAAATTAATACATCGTCGAAAGTATGTAATTTTGTGAGATAAGAGAACCAAAAATACGTGTCTAATTAAATAAAATTAGGAAACTCCTATTGTTGGAGATCTTAAGTTAATCTCAAGTTTTCGGGAGTTATTAGTATCTAATAGCTCCCGGAGCTCTTAAAATGAGCTTTGTCAAATTTTTATCTAATCTTTCTTAACCTTTAGCTGCCGACCTGGTCTAAACGTAGCACTTACGACGACGTGACGACTGATAGACGTCAAATTTTAAGTACTGAAATAAAATGTGTATTTGCATGCTATATTTTTCTATTTTATACAATAAAAAGATTGGTGTTTGAGGTAACAAACTACAGAATAAAAAAAAATACTTGCTATTTTTCAGGTAAAATCAACATTTACTCGAGAGATCACAATTATTTCGCACAAAATTTTAAGGACTTACTTCAGTCTCGTTTTTCTCTAAAATTAAGTAATAAACAACAAATGAACTTAAAATATGTTATCTTCTATAAACTATTATCAAGATAAAACATAATTCATACTTCTTAGTTAAAAAATAAAAATAATGACAGCCCTCGAATATTTGGTACATTCACTACGTACGTTTACAGTCAACGCATATTTGTAGGCAGCAAGTATGGCACATTGGTTTCTTGCAATTGCAACAACAGTACTTCGTTCGCCTTTTCAACCGACTGGGACAGATTGCACATGTCCTTCTAACACCTAAATCTGGATTCTGATAAATGTTTGGTGGTGGAGGCTCGGTTATGTCGGCGGGTCCAATAACTCGCTCGATACTTAGCCGCAATTCTCGTGGGATCCTATTATTATAGACGCGTAATTTTGTTAATGCCGCCATGTTGTTCCTCTCTGCCCAATGTCTCTTCTTCGATCTGTAATATAATGTCCTGGCTTTCATGAGCTCGTACTTATCCTTCTTGTTCTTCATTGTCGTGGTAATGGTTGATTTCTCCGTGGTAAACTTCCTCAACATGGGGATACGCGACGTCAACATCATCCTCATCGGATTCTTAGGTTTCCGTGTTGTGATCGCTCTCTAAAATAAAATCAGGATCGCCTACATCGTCGTCAAGATCACTACAGTTGTCGTCACTCTCGTTTATGAGATTTTCACATATCTCTTTCTTATAAACGCCTCTTCTGTTTTCGCAGTTTCGAAGGCTTCTCAGGAAGTAAACCGTTATCATTTGCAGGTTTTACCCACTCACTAGACGTGATGTTTCTCCTTTTAGGCATTCTGTAATTAAAAGTATAATTTTATAGCGGATGTGACGTCAATCAGACACTATAAGCTACCACACAAGAATACCGAGGTGACGACCAAGAGACGTACGAAATTTAGTACATTAACACCGTACTTACGTCTGTGAGACGTCGATTGCTTCAATACGGAGACGTGTGCACTCTGCCGCGGGCGCAGTGTTGACTGATAGCTTGGGACGCGGAGGGAAGAAGGTAGCAGGAAGGGCGACGCCGAAGGTGGCGTGATTTTAGAAATATTTCAAAATCAAAAGTTATTACGTCTGTGAGACGTATAGGTCGGTAGTTAAAGGTTAAAACTAATTCGATTATGCTCTCTATTATGTAGTTCAGGCTATTCTAATAAGATAAATAACAAGGGATTTCATACTCAGAAGTGTAATATTTATGAGGAAGGTACCTGATAATATTACGTGGTTCGATTAGGCGCACACTTACGCACTATAATTAATACGTTTATATAAGAAAATAACAATCAAAATCTCAGTCCAATGTAAAAGTCTGTATGTGTAGTTGCTCCATATAGAAGCTTAAAATACCCATTATGGCATAGTGCACAGTCCCTACAGAACGCAACAATGAAAATGATATTCGACTAAACCGGATTATAGCATAACATGTTGTTTCCTTGCAAAAAATACCTTATACCGAGGTGCAAAAAGTATATTTTTATTTAACGCTGCTTAGTGTTAAAATGTTTTAAACAAAATTCTTACTTCAGATGAATTACTTTCCAAGAGATCATTAAATATAAATCTCACATGTCTATTACGAGTGTAAAATTATTATCACACGTAATAATGTACAAGACGAAACTTTCATTTTATCACCTCAATATATTTTCCTTACAAAATATAAGTAATTTTTGTATGAAAACGTAATTGCGCGTCGTCAGATGACAAGTGTGTTGATGAGAAAAGCAACAATTTCCTCTTTGGCGTCCAAATTCCTCTTAGGTCTTAGAAAATAATATTTCGACATGTTTTATGAAGGAATTTTATAAGGTAAAAGTAAATGTATGGAATCTTAGTATCGTCTTTTTATTTTGTTATGTCTGAACATAAAATCAGGACTGATCCTGATTCCAGTAACTGGTCAGTATTAAATTTTCTTTATAATGTCTGATAATGTTAAAATATCTTTTATTAAATATTCACAAATAATTTCTGAATCAGATCACTACCTATATCCAGAGATTATCTCTGATGATTTACCTGCCTATTACTATTTATTAATACCTTCTTATGAACATTATTCACGAATTGCTTAAAATGCAAAAATCAGAAATGTTTGAATTTAGAAGACTTTTCATATTTGGTCTGACGTCATTGACGTGCCACTTGTTTATTTTGTTGCAAATAAAGTGAAGAGTAAAATTTGAATTTAGAAAGAGAACACAATGCATTGTTATTGCTATCTTTGTCATTTTGGGTCTGACGTCATTGACATGTCATTTGTTTTTGAACTGGCAACGTACTCAAAGAGAAATTGTTGCATTTAGAAGGAGAAAGCGATATACGTTTTCCCTTGTCATTTTGTGCATGTCGTCATTGACGTGTCATTTGTTTGTGAATTGGCAACGTTGCAATCTTTTTCATGTTATGGACGATTATTACTAACACTTGCAAACTACCTAATCGCGCGGTATAAAATAACTATTTTTTTCTATTACAATTACTATATTACAATATTATTAAGTAGGAAATAAGTCCATAACAGAAAATATTAACCTTTTTAGAGCGAAAATAAGATGATCCTCTAAACAGCCCAAATCGGTCGCAGGGACGTGACACTCACCACATTATGCCCGATTATTCCATACTATCGACTATATCAAATAATTTATCTTCCGAATATCACGTATTTAATGTAAATCACGAGTCGATATCTCGAATAGTTATGTTATAGACATGTAAATCATATTGACGATCACAAACGCAAATTTTATTATAGCAATTTGTTAGACTTATGCAGTGCTTATGAATATTATTTCGTATCTAATAGTTAGAATTGCATTGGTTGAATAAATTGATGTGAAAAAGTTGATTTATTTTGTTAGAAGACTCTATAGATCACACTTATGTTATAAATGTGACAGTTTCTTTGTTTGAATATTTATCTGAAATTACTAAACGGATTTTGATGAAATTTTGTATACAGTCAGGGTATGGGCTAACTTAGGTGATAGGATACTTTTATTCTGATTAAATGTTCCCATGGCAAAAAAAGAAATTATATTTTACGCGGACAAAGTCGTAGACAACAGCTAGTACGTTTATATAAATAAGCAGGTGAAGTTAGGAGATTAGGAGTAAGAAACTAATAGGTACAAAATGTAGTATGTCAATTTTTTTTTAACTAAACCATCTTGTTTAGTATGATAGGTACTTATTAATCTTATTATTGACCTAGTAAGTACATTGACAACACGAAAAAAAACAACACATCTTTGGCTAGCTATTCAGAAAATAAATTACATAGGAAGTAATAATTTTAATCTGAGTTCATAAATGTATGTTTAGTGTATTATCATTTAAAATAAATAAAGAGAATTTTACCTAAATGATGCGGCACATTGGTCTGGTCGTCAGTGAACCAGTCGGTGCTGCTGACGCGGTCGGCGCAGTGTGGCGGCACCACGCACCGCAGGACTGCTGCGTTCCCCGCCATCACATACTCGTCTGGTACGTGGATCTCCCACGGTATGTTTAGTGCTGTGAAGAAAAAAGAGGTTAGGTTGCATTTGGTCCAAGGATATGGTCACTAAGGCACGGAGCAAAGTTAGGACAGGGTGGTTTTTAAACAGTAAGAGATATTTCCCTCCTACCTCACCCAGGATTGAAGGGGTTATATTATAATTTCCTAAACAAAAATAATGGTTTCGTTTGGTAAATAACCTACAAAATGACAATAAGGGTGATGACAGGGTATGAAAATTAAAAATCAACTTAATTAGTCCGTCAGTTAATGGAAAAATATTAGACACGTATTTATTAATTTTGTCGTATAAGAAAACAATACTTGAATAAAACGAATTAAAGTTTAGGAGTGGGAGGTAACTACGTCATTTTATAGAATAAATCGTACTCAAAAGCGACTATATCTTCGTAAGTATTCGTTTCCGTACGAAAATAAAAAATACATGTCTAATGTTTTTAATTAAATCTACCAGATGGACATGAAAATAAAAATTTTTCATCTACCCTATTGCTAGTCAGGAGTGATTGTGAAGGAAGTGAGAGAACCGCTCTAGCGCGAGTAGACTGGCCCCACAGCAGTGATACCACGGCTTCACAGAAACCTGGCTAGAGATAACGATTGTTTTGTTCGGCCAAGCAGGCGTGGTTACCGAAGGAGGTATTATGATAAAATTACGATTGAAATATAAACAATCACAATATTATATCTATTACTTAAATAACTTGCAAGAAAAATCGCTTCTCGGCCTTTTGGCTAACATCAAAGTGTAGTAGCTGTTCTTTTCAGCTTAATATCTGAAAGTTCCCTCACTAAGGGACCAGTATATTAATTATTACCAGTATATTATTATGCGCCGGGCTTCAGTGTTCCGGTGTTTTCATAGTTGTATCTACTGTAGATCCTGGCTTACAGGTGGTGCAGCGGTTTTGGTAGGATGTGGCGGGCTTGTCCCATTAAAAAGAAAAACTTGCAAGAAGTTGAGAGCAATCCAAACCAAACGTTGTTTATTTCTTAAAGTTAAAACTATTGTTAGCAATTTACCGAAGACTTTGAAGAGTAGAAAATAAAGTTAATTAAAGTGTCTCAGAGTCCCGGATAAATAGAATACCCGAGACCCTTTAGACCTGCTCTTGTTAAGAAAATAGTATGTTTTTGGTATTGTGTATTGTAGACATCGTATCAACATTTTAATTTTATTTTCGGTGTATGATTTATTGTATTTTCTATATGAGATTGTATTATGTTTTTTATGTATAGCTTTGAACTTCTATTGGTTAACCATTATTTTTGGCTTCTCCCCACCAAATCACAAAGATTGAACTAGATTTTTGACATAAATACACTGTGTCTGTTATTTATTTAGGCCATATTATAACAGAAAAATATTACAAAACGACATTCAGATTTGACTTCAATACTTTAACCACATTAAGAACAGTAGAAGTACTTATGATTTCAAATTCATTTAAATCTGTAATAATTACAGGTCAGTCAGCACAAGAATAGGGCACAATTAAAATACTGTCGACTGCGCTATCTCAGTAATCCCTTTTAACACAAACGGTGAATTTTCTTCGTAGACCTCTAATTGCGGATTTCAAATCGCTTTCATCCATGGTTCATTTAGTTTATATTCCATGGAATACTGCTAGAGACACGTAGTCTAAATTGTATATTAAGATTGCTATGAAATTTTGTCGTAGACTTGTCCAACAGTTCCGTTTAATACCTAAATAACTACCTCTAGTTACTTGCCTTGACCTCACGGTTGGCGCGGTGGTTAGGTTAGTGTATTAGTTAGTGTTGTGGGTTCGTTTCCCACATGAACAACTTTTCGTGTGGTCCACAGATTGTTGTTCCGGGTCTGGGTGTCATGTGTATGTGAACTTGTATGTTTGTAAACGCATCCACCACACAGGAGAAAATCCAAGTGTGGGGCAACGTTTCTTTAAAAAAAGAAATAAATAGTTGTCCACTGACGGTACTTAAGGTTTTTTTTAAGTGGGGAAAGTCATCCAATGACTTCTACCACCTTGGGTCAGGAGAGACAGTATTAAAATCTTACTGACTAAAAACTACCCCGTACAGCTAATCCTGCTTTGGCTAAACTTCATTGTAAAGTACATGATATGTACCTATGTATCTGTTAACATTGTCACCTATTATCAATGGATTTTCGGTATCTGATGACCTAAATACGAAGTTGCTTGACACTCTTGAGGATATTAATAAATACCGAAGTAGGTATTATGACTGATGATGATGCCATGTCGATATACAATATAGGTAGGTACTTTCCTGGTGAAATATCGACTATAAATCTAATTAAAATTATAATTACAAAATAAAATATACCATAAATAATCTCTAACGCATCATAAATTATGCACCTAATTACAAACGACACACCGACATTGCATTCTAATTTCAAAATTAATTTTCAGCATACATAATTAATGATTCGACATATTACGAATCACAGATTATATCTATGCCTACCAAAATTAATTGATACTGGCAACAAATTATTCGTTTAAATTAATTACGTTGGCAACATTTAGTTAGTGTAATATTATGAGAGTGTTTCGTGTACAAAGAGAAGTGCATTTCCGCAATTAATTAGCGTTCGCTTCCAAGATGGATTCCGAGATGCTTAAGATTAGTATTTCGAGTTGCTTTGAGGTTAACTGAGATACAAACTACGTATTTAGTTTTAGTTTATGTTCTCTGTTGTGGTATTAACAAATTAGAAAATCAGGTACATTTAAAAATCTATTTTGAGGTTAAAGAAATCTGACCCTAATATGAATCACTTAAGGTCCATTTTCAATGCACAGTTTAATTTAATCAGAGGAATAGCTTTGAAAATTTGACAATTCTTCCGTACTAATAACTGTTAAATGTCAATTTTATTGTATTGATAAGGATTTTATCCGACACTGGCAGTATAGTCGACAACATCGTATTGGAGACTCGGCTGCCAAAGAAGAAGAAAAAAATGATTAACAGATGATTGAAAAATCGGCCCTCACTGTCGTCAAAATAGTTTGGATCAATGTGATTTTTGTGACATGTAATTACTGTTTTAAGTGTAAATCTTTTGCGAGATATTTCAACTACTGTATTAAGTGTAATGTGTGTCTTCAATATCTATAGAATTGTTGAGTTGTTGAAATTAAATCTAGTGTGTGACAATGTCGTGGAGAACCTAACGGGTTACCGGGGCTCCGGCACGACGTGTAGGAAAAGGAACGGGGTGGTTTTTAGTCAGTAAGAGTCTGACACTCCCTTCCGCCTCACCCAGGCAGGAGCAGCCATTCGATGATTTTCCCCCCTTAAAAAAAACAAAGTGTGTGACAATAGTTCACTTCATAAAAAAGTCGAGCCACCTGCAGACCGCAAGTTTGTAATATTTACTTCTGTCAATGATAACAAGAAGATTTTGAAACTAAAACAACAACAAAAGACGAAACAAACTAAATCAGAACGACCACAAAATTGGTTTTAACATCAACGGTACTAACAAATAAAGTGCAGCTACAAACTGTTATTTTGTGAAGTGAACTCGAGACTTATTGAACTGTATCTGTGAGAAGCCAATTTTCTGGTCAAGTACGAGACGAACTGCTCGAGTAATAAGTTTGATATAAATTTATCTCAGTCTGTTGGTACCTACTTTCTATATTTTAAAGGAATTTCACGTCGTTATTTCGTATTTACTTTTCTTAGTCTATTTGTTTAGTTTCATGGAAAACTATATTGATAAGTTAGGTTTTTGTGTTTTTTTTTGTATCGTTAGGATTCGACACGGCCTCACAGAAAACCGACGTGAAGCAACGCTTGCGTTGTGTTTCGTCGTGTGAGTGAAGTTACCGGAGGCCCAATTACCTTCCCCTTCCCCAATCTCCCCAATCCTTGAATCCCCAAAGATCCTTAAACTCCTAATCCCCAAAAAGCCGGTGACGCACTTGTAACGCCTCTGGTGTTCCAGATGTCCATGGGCGACGCCGATTCCTTACCATCAGGTGATCCGTCTGCTCGTTTACCCGCTTATGCCATAAAAAAATGCATTATATCTTATACAGTCTGCATCAAAAGTTGACGAATACATTTAGATTTTCAAAATCGCTGTGCACCGTATTATATCTAAATCGGCGAACATGACAAGCACTTTAAATGCAACACAAGATAATTATTTATTTCTGCGTTTGTCATGTTGACACCAGGGTTTAATAAGTTCAATTACTTACCAGCATGTACATGAATGTTCTTGGAGAGTATGGCGAACCCGCTGCTGAGTCGTAATCGACATCTGTATGTGGTGGCGTGGACATCCCTCCTGTAGTGCTCAGCGGGGAAGGGAGACAGTTCTAGAGACCCATTTGCCAGAACCCGTCGCAGACCCTTTAGGGAACCAGCCACCGTGTTATCTGGGAGCAGCCAGTCCAACTGTGGAAGAAAAAGTATGGGTTAAGTTTCCATAATATGTACAGAAGTATAACATTAAAGATTCTTGTAATTTCATTATTTTTTAAATCTTTTATGTAGTCTTTCAGTCGGTAGGTGGACATAAAAATTTAACCAAAATTTTAATTTGTGGATTGCTCTTTTAACATATGTATATATATATAACTTTTAACTTTAATAGCTATTTTAACGTACGGTTAGGAATATCTAAGTTTCAGCATGATGTCGGTATAAAATATGTGTAGCAAAGATTATCAACATTTTAAGAAATATTCTTAGAATTTCTAATATACCATTAACCACATTTAAAAATAACGGTAAAAATATTCACGTCCCATGTTTACTACATGCCAGTTTTATACCACGCAAGAATATTTTATCGTAACTCAGTTATAAAGCGAACCTATACCGCAAAAGGATAGAATGCCAATAAAAACATACTTCCTCAGGCAATAATAACACCACGGAAGGAGCCCAATGGGGCTGATGCCGATACTGAGCTGCGGAGAACGTAAAAGGTTACCAGGGCACCGGCTCGAAGTGGAAGAGTAGGAACGGGGTGGTTTTTAGTTAGAGTCTGACACTCCAGTAGTGTGTGACACACCTCGCCTTATAAGTAAGTAGTGTAAGTTAGTAATTATGAGACTCAAAACAACAACTCGTCTTCCTCATTGCTCCACATTGCACTCTTTCCCGCCTCACCTAGGCGGGAGAAGTCATTCGATGATTTTCCCCTCTTGAAAAAGGCAATAACAACAACCAGCTTCTTATAAAACAATAACGTTAAATGATGAAGGAAAACGAGAGAACTTTATCAAATAAATAATTGTTTAATATGTCTGACACTCGTTTACAAACAGTTACATGAATATGGGTATAAGGAAGATTAAATATCATATCTCCATGGTTAGCGGTATCATGGAGGTTAGGCACTGAATACCTTTTGATGTGAGGGTTCGTTTTGAGTTATTTGTATAAAATAATAAATGCCATTGTTGTTTGTTCTGAAGGAAGGTCGTGGATATGGTTAATCTGGGTGTTTTTGTATTGTAAAGAATTTAACGTAGCTTTACAAAAAAATTAAATGTTTTAAGACGACCCCTACTCATGCATGGGGGTGCGGGTTTGAAACCTACCAACAGCAAGTACTAATGTGACATGTTCCGAGTTATATGAACTTTCTAAGATTATTTAGACACCACTGAACGGTACAACTAAAGAAACCTAAGTTTATAATTTCTAATCATAAGTTTCAATTTGCCAACCCGCATTGAGTAAGCGAGGGTGATTAATGCTCAAACCTTCTTCGTGTGAGACACCTTTGGTCAGCAGTGGCTGTTGATGATGTTACAAAAAATATTTTAAATTTGTTTTAGATTCTGAGCTTATGCTTGGTGATATGTTGGTTATTGAACACATTTATAATTATTTCAAATTTATAAGTAGAGTTATGGAAAGCAACCAAGAACTCGTATAACCTTTTTTTATAGCATAAGCACGGTAAACGAGCAGACGGATCATCTGATGGTAAATCGGCACCGTCCATGGACACCTGAAACATCAAGGCGTTACAAGTGCGTTACCGGCCTTCTGGGAATTGGGAACCTCACTCACACAACGAAACACAACGCAAGCGTTGTTTCACGTCGGTTGTCTGTAAAGCCGTGGTATCACTCAGGTCGAGCCGGCCTATTCGTGCCGATGCATGACTCTCCTACATTTATATACCTTCATTTATATAACCTTCATTTAGTAGTGAAAAAACTGTACTAAATGGGGTAGACGACTAATTTTTATTTTAATGTCCGTCTGATAGATTATTTAAAAACATTAGGCACGTATTTTTTATTTTCTCACAGAAACGAATAGTTTCGAAGATATATTGATTTGAAATGTCGCGTGACGTCACTTCTCAGTACATTTTATACTAAGGAATGACGTTTTAGCCCCCACTCCTAAACTTTGATTCGTTTTATCTAAGTATTGTTTTATTATACGACAAAATAAAAAAATACGTGTCTAATATTTTTTCATCACCTAACTTACGGACTAATTATATTTTTAATTTTCATACCCTGTTATCATCCCCATTCTGACGTGTAATCAAATCTGAAGATTCCGTGTTGCTAGGCAACAATCTGATTTGGAAACATCATTCCAACAAACATCATTTCAACAATTTAACACTATAATATAAAATGTTAACCCACATTTTACATACCTATGTATTTTAACCCCAAAAGGATCAAAGTACCACAATAAAACCTATTGAAAGTTGCTACCATTCCAAAAGTAACTTATTGTGCTAAAATTTAAAACTCTCACGTATAAAAGAAAAGTTGAGACACAGTGGTTTTTGTGACAGTTAATACGATATAACGCGATATTTATATCTCTCGGGGGCATGTTTGGTATCGTTATAAGCTACGTTTTCACATCCCTAGAGCGTCTTTGTCGTATCACACTGTTTTTGCATCCCCAGCTGGGTTTTTGAGTAAATATGTATGTTCCTTGGTTTAGGATTTGATGTTCTCTTGTAGTTTTGTGTTTGAAGCTATTATTTAGATGTTTATAGCCTTGATAATGTAGGTTTATAGCTAAAGGCTTACTAGAGTAATTTTTGTTTTAGAGTAATGGTAGACCCATTTCGTATGTGAAAAGATTTGCCACGAGATTATGTGTGTAACCAAGTTTCGTTTTGATTATGTAGGTACTGGAATATAATAGTATAGTTATGCTATAAACTTCTTAATATTATTATATGTAAATCATGATTGGTAATAGAAAAACAATCAAGCAGATATATATTCAAGTTACTCCAGAATGTTTTTTATATATTTGTCTATCACTTGGTAAAGGTTTTAGTCACGTTCTCTTCGTAAAAAAGATATTATATTTTCACCGTCCAATGTCACGACTGTCAAATATTATTTTAGTTCGTAGAAATCTGAAAAAGCACTTCACCTTGGAAGTGATAGCCAAAGGGATTTCAAAGAACTGAGTCTTAACGCCGCAGGTCTTACTACAAGACTACATCAAAAACTGTTTGTCGATAATTTATATTTATTGAAAATTAACTTACATAACAAAGTTGTCACACCTTTTTTTTTCAAATAAGTACTTATTATTATTTTCGATTCCAATAAATTTTCTTGTCCTGATAATGATATTTATTTGAACTGGTAATGGGCGTGACATGTAGCTCACAAACACGACCCGTCGAACAAGGATCTCCTGGAGTGGAGACCGTGGGAATACAAACGACCTGTTGGTAGACCTCAGATGATATCAAAGAGGTGGCGGGACAAAATTAGATACTAACAGCCCAAAATAGAACTAAGTGGAAAGGTTTGAAGGAGGCCTAAAGCAAATTGGTTGAAAAAGGCTAGAGATGATGATGATAATGAACATTGTCATAATGTACTTGTATTAATCATAAGGTTCTATTATAATAAATAAATAAAACGTCCTAATCGAATTCGATCACGGTGTCAAGTCTAACTAGACTAGCCTACTTCGTAGGAAAGATTATAGTGCACAAGTGCGCGAATACAGATGCACTCTGTTCCCTCACTCTCTGAACCCGATGGAATGGTAGACCAAGATGACTAGGTCAGGCTCCAGGATCAATGGTGACGATGGTGATGATATTAAATAAAAACTATTTGGATGTTTAATTTTGTAGGTACATTTATCTATAGATAAGGTTATTCAACATCTTGCAACTTTAAACAATCTCAAAATGGTCTAATATACGAACGAGTTTGAGTATAAAATATGTACGGCAGTAGTTTGTGGTGTGTTTCAGGCAAATTTGCATTTTTCCGTGCCATTAAACGCGGCCCGCCGTCGGACCGGTCGACCGGCCCGTCGACGGTCTCTCGCTGTTTAATTCACTGGTATTTCAATATATTTCACTGATTTCATGCTGACATGAACAGTGATTGTTTGAGATTAAAGTACCTACAATATTTGGTTTACTTCTCTGTCACATGGGCACACGTGGTATTATGTTACTTACATGTTTTGTAAAAAGCTAAGATTTAAATCTTAATTTAGTAAGGGGTTTTTATCCAGATGAATTTGTTAACTGTATTGCTAAGAATATGTAATAGATCCTTTACTATAGTTCTTAGGATGCTGTTTTGTAGCTATATAGGTATAAATAAAATAGGACGATAAGCAAAGAAACACATTATATTAAGTTAATTTGAATTTTACAGATTGGTCTCTGCACTTAAGTACATCAAAGGAGTTTTGTTGTACGTTCAAAAATAGCTAAATAAAATATTAATTACCTACTTACTCCGAAAATGTATTCAAATAAGAATTTGATCACAGACATTGTCTTGGTTTGATGAAAGCGTTTGAAACCTTTACTAAGGCATCGGCGCTCCACTCGACAAAGGCTCAAAACTTTTGAATTCAAAGACAAGTACCTACTATAGAGATGTTGCGTTTTGTATTTCAAATTCCTCAGGTCTTGTGTTTCGTGAAAAACGAGCTCCTCTTATTAATCTTACTGCCAAAAATTGTTACGGAATATTCCTGAAATTTTGATCAATTTCAGTATCAATCAATATAAGCATAAATAGTGATGTACGAAGCCTAAGCAACATTTTTAGTTACGTATCAAGATTGTCTTAATAGCAAGGGGTTTCGAGTTCAGGGGCCATGATCTGAAAAACAATTGTTAATTTTTATTAATTCTAAATAGTACGCTCTACAGATTTTAGAATTTACGAACTAAACGGTACTCAATTTATATTTTAGGTAATCTTTGCTTTTTGTCACAGATAAAAATACCTGAGGCACGAGCCTTATAATAGAGAAAAATTTAATATGTGCCAGTGTTTTTATGCCATCTAAAGTTAAAACTTTTCTATCTTATGTGAAACAGAAAAGCTAACATTGCCGCGTTAGTTTAAGGAGCGTCGTTTTAAAAATAACACAGTTCACGTTGTTAGAAAATTGTAGCTCGA